CTGGGGTATTGGGGGTAGGTGTGTCGGAGACAATGAGATTGGCACAGGAGAGAGCAGTGTTTAGGTCTGTTGTACATAGGGTCACTATGACTCAACGGCACATAACAACAACAACAGGTCTAGGACTTAAACAACAGTGGGCATGGATGAAACTAGTTTCCATCCCACCCTCCTTCCTATTAGCAAACAGTCACAAAACAGAGGGAAGAAAATATTTATTATTGGGAACACATTTGGAATTACTATTGGGTAACTGTTATTTTTAGGGAAAAACATAGGATCAAACAGATCAAAACAACAAAATGGAAAATTGGGAATGATCCAAAAAGCCCCAATTTCTGTGTGTTTGCATGTGGTTGCGGTTTTTCTTTCTTAATAAGGGCAAACAAGAAATTTATAAAAATTGAGCCGTCTTCAACCAACGTATTTGATTTTTTACGGTCTCAATAAATCTATATAATGACATAATCTCAAGTTACAATTAATAGGAAAGTAATGATGTCTTCTCCTGCTGCATCTACATAAGAACATTTGCTTTTAGATGGCATTTAGAAAAAGCAAGACATAATAATAGGGTTTTGGAGATTATTTAAAAAAACAGATTCTGGTTAAATCCTTATTATATAGCTTGAGTTTAAAAAGAAACAATTACTCTTTATATAAGAACAACACATTATAGCACAACTCTTTGCATAAATACAACATAGCCTAATTACAAAGCTTGTGTTGCTCCTGAAAAGTGCTTATTTATTTATTTTTGTGTGCTGGTCTATTAAAAGGACAGTGACAGGAGTCAGGAAAAGCTCATTTATCAATTTATAATCCTGACACTGCTCCTTAATAACTGCAACCTTGGAGCAAATTACTTACTCTTTCTGAGCTCATGATTCTTAAAAAGTAAATAATAACTTCTAAACGTTATAAGATTGTTGGAGAGATTAGAGGAAATGTGCAGTAATGAGCATAGTACCAGGCACATGGCTGACACTCAGTAAAACAATAACTATCCTTCTTTAAAGTGGCTACTTTCTTTTTTTCACTCTGGCTTCATTATGGGAGGCATTTAAATCATCATTTCCAATAACAAAGTTTACTGTGTTTTCTTCCTTCAATGTATATAAACCTCCACCTCAGTCAACCTGTTTAAATAAATTAGAAAATTTTAAAATGTTCCAGTTCTGTCTTTTCTAGATCAGTCATAAGGTTATATAAAGGATATGTGTGCAATGCTTCCTGGGTGTCTGGCTTACATGGGTGGTGCTGCACCTGTGTTACTGAACACCAACAGCCAGGTGGATCTGGATGCTGGCTGGCCCAGTTATATTTCTGTCACCTCTACCCAGCTTCTGTAGGCACTGGCATTTGCAACCTCTGTTTTAAACACTAAACTTTCCAAGGGCATTACCATTTCAGTTTCACAAGTTGTATGTGCCTATATAACTTACTAGAAAAGAAAAAACAAGGCAGGTAAGTATTGTAAGAAAATAAAATATATGACAAATTTTTTAAAAAATTACCTGATGGAATATAGGCTCTTTTACTTTAAGGTAAACCTGCAAAATATTAAAGAAACAAGTGTGAATGTAGTGCATTATGGAGAAGGAAAAAAACCCCCTTATTCCAACTACTCTACAAAATTGCCAACCTCTCCTATTTCCATCACCCTGCTATTGACACATGATTTCAGCCCTGCAAAACCAATCAGACAAGGTGGCATTCCAAAGGAGGGTTAGCATCCTAGGTTGATCTATCCCTCAGTCTAGCTTTGCCAATTCCAGTGGTGGTGGGAGTTTAATGAAATAATAAATATCAAGTACTCAGTACAGCATCCGACACACAATAAGCATTCTGTTTTGTTCACCATGTTGTTCCTTGATTTTATGCTTATGGGCAAGAAAGAGTGTCTACTTAGAAATGCTTCAATACACTCTTGCTGAGGGACAGGTGGAATCCTAAGTATCAGTTCAGCTCAATTTCTCCTTCTCTTCTACTGCTTTCCTTGACCCACTCAAGCAGTCTTGATGGATCCTCCTTTATTTCACTATGGCATAATTTAACTTTTGTTACAGTAGTCATCATCCCTTGTCAACATGTCTAACTTCCCAGCTAAGAAGAACCCTTCAAGGATAGCAACTCCTTCTTTGCCATCTTTCTATTGTTAGTGATTGACTTGATAGGTTTTTGATAAATGATGACTTAAATGGAAATGAGTATTTTCTTAATACAAAACGTAATCCGCTTGAGGGGAACAGAGCAGTAGGTTACGGCCAGGAATGATTAGCTACTTCAATTTATTAGGAAAAAACTGACTAGTAAAACAGTCACACTATGTCCACAATAGGAAAGTCAATCTTTTGTTTTTAATGAACAAGAGGCAGTATGTTCATTCATGACAAAAAATTAACAATTTTATCCTATTGCTATTAAGTATTTCCCCTCCCCCTTAAAAAAGAAACTTTTTAAAAAATTTTATTATTTTTTGTTTATCTACCGTCAAATCAGATCTGACTGGTACAGGAGGAGATTGCCCCTCCTTTACCAGCAGAGCATCTGGTGAAAAAAGAAACATTTTAAAAGTTATTCCAACTACAATTCTAACTGACATAAACAGTAAACAAAGGAGAGGGATCCATAAATGAGATATCCCACTTTTGTAAAGAAATACTTCAGTCCAAACAGCATGCTTCAAACACTGAGGGGTTAAGATGCCAAACTCTATAAATGGTTATTTATAGCAGGAAAAAAATACTACTTACTATGGTTACTATTAAACTGAACAGAACTAGTGTAAAAAGTAGGTGGTAGTTTACAGAATTCTTCATCTTGAAACATTCAAACCTTTTAAAAAAAGGGGGAAAGAGGAAAAAAAACCTTGCTTTAATATATATAAAGAGGAAGTATAATATAGAAATATATAAAATAAAAATATATCTAAATATAAAATAATATTACCTTACTACTTGCATATTGATCCCTATGATCTAATGGTATCTCTCATCTCTTCTCACCCATATTCTCATCTTAAGGAACCTGTACTCTCTTCAGCTTATAAAAGGCTGGATGGACTAGGAATAGACAGACACCTGTCTTAGGCTGGGTCAATAAAGGGCTATCGCTAGAAAATCTGCTATCTGAGCCCAGAGAGTGAATCAATTAAGTACAGAGAGTCAAAGTAAAAGCCATATGGTCTTAAAGTCTGAGGTTTAATTTGAAGGTAGCTATAATGGGAAAAACAGGGAACTCTGGTGGCTTAGTGATAAGAAGTTGCACTGGCAATCCAAAAGCAAGCAGTTCAAATCCACTATCTGCTCCACAGGAGAAAGATGGACAGTCTCCGCTCATGTGCTTTAATGCCTTTGAAAACCCACTGAAGGGTTAGCCATTAGTTGGTTCTGACTCAAGGGTACATAGCAACATAATGAAAAAGGAAGCTTGGGTGGCATACTCCATAAGGATATATAAGAGATAAAAACTGTTTCAAATTGTGGCTCGATTGCTAGCCTTGTTACTAAGGCAAAACTAAAACATGTAGGTTTCCAACAGGCTATAATTAATTACCCATCTGAACACATACCCTTTATATAGTTTTCTAACATTTAAAGAAGCTGGAAGTATAATTTTAAAGGTTCTCCTCTAATAAACCCAGCAATGTAGCTGAAGGCCCAACTTCTATCTCTACTCCAAAGTTCTCACTTAGAAGGCACATGTCATGACCCTCTGTTGTTGTATGACTGCAGCCTATCAAAACATTTTTTCAAAATTCTCCCTGAAGGGCATTCTGACAATCATAATTTTTCCCCATTATTATATATTTGTATGGCTATTTTAGTGCATGTTCTAGAGGATGTTCCCATTAAGATTTACAACCTCAGAAACATGATGGAGAACTTGGCATGAGCTGAAATCAGCTTGACAGCATTGGGCTTAACTGGTGGTTTTTTGGTCGTTGGTTTTTCCTAGTTTAGAGACTGGGTATCTGATCAATGGCCTAGATGCTTAATCAAGCTGTACTTATGGCCTTAGACAGCTACTAATGTCTCTGTGCCTCATTACTTCATCTACAAAATGGACTTTTATCTTGAACAATTGTGAGAATTAGAGATAATGTACACAGTAGGTAAATAAACATCAGCACTTATTCATGTTCTAATTACAATCATTGTTCTTCCTAACATTCAGGAAATGTAAAATAATTTTATAATGAGATGAATAAAGCATGATCCAGGGAGGGCAGTATGAACTGCTAATAATTTCTGCTAATAATTATTTCTTGCTTGTGAATAACCAATCAGCATGATTATACCCAGCATTTACCTTCATTTAGAATAAGGAGACTTTAAAGGATACAGATATCTCTTATTTAATAGATAAAACGAAGAGATTAAAATGTCATAATCATGACACAACTGGCAGATATCTGCTATACTTTTCAAATAAGTTTCTGGTAGGACACTATTTATACTGTAGCATATGGAAACTTCATCTACAATTTTTGTGGTATAATTGACTATAGAGTTTTGAGGGCATAAAAGTCAGCATTATTATAATTTCTAAGAGATTATACTAGATTACTTTGAGATCACAAAAGGTACACTCATATATAAGTAATAATTGCATTTATTATATTAGGAAGTAAATACAAAATTTTAAGACAATCAAATAACACAATTTTAACTTTTAAATACTTACATGCAGTACACAAATATACAACAGCTGTAAATCATTGGGAGTTCATCCAATAGCTGTAAGAAATAAAGACAACAGGACTTGAAAATCATAGTTCTAAGTATTACATAAACCAAATTGAAAAGCAGCTCCAATTATGTAAACCAAATTGAAAAGCAGAACACTGAAATCTTCATCATTGTTGCTGCTGTTAGGTGCCATTAAGTCAGTTTGACTCAAGGTGGCCCTGTGTACAACAGAAGAAAACACTGTCCAGCTGCCCAGTCCTGTATCACTCTGACAATTGTTGCTCTGTTTGAGTCCATTGTCGCAGCTACTGTGTCTCCTTACTAATTATTTTATATATTTACCATTATCTAATTTATCCTGTGTATATTTCTTGTTTTTGAACACACATCTCATCCACTCATCCATCCCTTTTGGTACACACTTAACTAGGATGCCTGACTTACTATTCCTGGGGGAACAGTCTTGCTCTGCTGGCACCATTCCACAGCACATTACCCTGTTATCATTACCTGTAGGAAACAATGATGTCGACCCTCTACAGGTCTGTGGGTCCCATTACAATTCATGTGCATTTCCTTCCATTCTTGAACAACTCTGATTGATAAAATACTCATTAACATCCATAAGAATCCATGCCTTTGATTGGGTGCTGGAGAAAGAGTACTGAACATACATACTATGGACTGCTAAGAGAATAGGTCTGAACCAGGCTGCCGTCCTTGGAGGCAAGGATTTTGAAGCTCTGTCTCACACATTCTGGGCACATGGCCAGGAGGGACTAGTCCTTGGAGAAGAACATCATGCTTGGAAGGGTGGAAGGACAACAGCGCAGGAGAGGAAGACCCCAGATAAAAGGGATTGACACTGTGACTGTGGCAATGCAGGCAGGTGTGTCAGAAACACTGAGACCAGTTCAGGATAGGGCAGGGTTCAGAGCTATTTGTTCATAGGGTGGCTGCAAGTCATAGTCAATGGACAGCACGTAACAACAGCACTACACATAAGAAGAAATAGCAAAGCTAATGAAATAATTTAATCAAGTTAACTTCTATTTATAGTAATATTTACTATTGTGATAATATATTCAAGGGCAAGCTAGGCACTGTGCTAGGTGTTACAGATGGAGTGTTTCTAATATTTAAAAGAGTTGATGGAGTCTTTTTATTCATTATATATACATTTAGTCCGTTCTTTAATAATACTCTGAGCCAAGCAATGTGTTAGAAGTGAAGGCTACAATGAAGAGCAAGACACAATCTCTGCCTGCTAGGAATTTACGAACACTGGAGATGAGAAATATATCATTAAACATGAGAAATAATCACAACAAAAGAGGCATACAGATGGCAGAGAAGATGCGCGTAAGTAATGAAATGTAATTGTTGGGGAAAAGCATTCTTAGAAGAGAGCTTTTTCAAAGTAAGTATTAGATGTTAATTATTAGAATAATTAAGATAACAGCACTTGTGCAAGGTCTTGTAGTTACGTGCCTTTACACTTATTATTACACTAATTATTATCACTTAATTTTCAGTCATTCAAAGGAAGGTCATATTATAGTTTGCATTTCACAGGCAAGAACTTGTGATCATTTAAGTAACTTGCCAAGATAACAGAGTTAATAAGGAGTACAGTTAGATTTTGCACTGACTCTAAAGTATAGTTCTGTATTATTATCACCTCTAAAACCTGTTCATCAAATAATGTTTAAACATTAAAAAGAAAAAAATCCAGCAGAGAATCAAGATATGCTGTAGCAACATTTCTTGCAAGTTACACAATATGCAGATAGCCTCTCTAAAGTTTTTGAATCAAGATCTACTGGCTTTTCATGAAACATAATTCGCATTTTGTCTTCTATATTTCTGTTTTCAAGTGTTAGTATAATATTTATGTAGGCATTTGGCCTTTAAACAATTTATTGACAAATTCGTTGTTGCTGTTAGATACCATCAAGTGGGTTCCAATTTACTCTGTACAAGAGAATGAAACACTGCCTGGTCCTTCCACCTTATAACCATACTGTCCATGAGCTTATTCACTGTGCCACCTGTTGTCAGTCACTGAGGGTCTCTCTCTTTTTCATTGGCCTCCTTTATCCAGCATAATCTCCTTCTAAAGGAGACATATCAGAAGTTCATGAGATGAGATGAAGCCTCCTCATCATCCACAGTTCTAAGAAGTATACCAGCTGCACGATTTCTGAGATTTGTTTGTTGTTTAGTTCTGCTGGCAGTTTGATGGCATATTCCATATTCTTTTGATATCAGTGTTTCAATGATATGAACTCTTCTCTTAATTCCTTATTTACTGTCCAGCTTTTATGTGTATAAAGAGGGAAAAGGAAATAATATAGCTTGGGTCTAACTTAAAAACCTCTGGAGAGCTCTGATGGCATAGTGCGTAGGGAACTGAGCTGCTACCCCAAAGGCCGTGCCTCCTCGGTAGTTCAAATCCACCAGAGGCTCTAAGGCAGAAAGATGGGCAATCTTCTCCTGTATGAGGTGCAGCCTCAGAAAGCCAGTGGAGAGTTAGGTGCACTTTAATCCTAAACTGTTTGTTTCTTAACATTTTAAAGAGGTATTGTGCCGGGAAATTTGCCCAATACATTGTTTGATTCCTTGACAAGACAGAGTGACACAGTGACTGTAGCTATAGGCTCAAGTATGTCAGAGATGATGAGGATGGCATAACATAGTTCAGGCCTGTTGTTCACAGGGTCACTAGGACTGATAACTGACTCATCAACACCTAACAACAACAATAACATGCAAGGCAAGGAGCTTCTGGTGGAGCAGTGTGTTATACGTTGTGTTGCTAACTAAAAAGCTGGATATTCAAGTCCATCAATTTGTGTAAGAAAGATGAGCAATCTTTCCCTTTAAAGATACACAGGCTTGAAAGCCTAATGAAATGTCAGCATATCTTGTCATCAACTTGGCCAACAATGGGCCGTTTGTTTTTTTAAAAACCGTTTAAAGCTAGGCAGCGCTGGTGGTGTGTAGTCCTTGGCGAGTTGCACTGCTAACCCAAAGGCTACACATCTGTCATCTACACATCTCAAATTTGCCAGCAGCTCTGGAGGAGAAAGCTAACAGTCTTCTTACTGTGATTACAGATGAGTTTGGGGTTTTTAATCTGAGGCAATAGGCCATCTACTCAACAAACTCATAGCCGTCCAATTAAAGCATATCATAGATGACCTTCCAGCAGGCTTTCAGAGGCAGTAAATTACATGAGAAGAGACTGCCCATATTGCTACCACAGAGCAGCAGTGGTTTCAAATGCTGGCCTTGAGCTGGCAGCACAACTCCTCATCTACTAGGCCACTAAAGCTCCCAGACAATGAATGAATGAATGAAGATGCACAACTTGTTTGGCTCTTGATGAATGTGGAATCTCCTTACCTGTAGTCCTGGATCAAATCTTTCTTGTTTGCTTTACCAGGCAGACAGGTAGTGTCTAAGTTTGCTTTTTATATTTTATTATTTTATGTGCTAATATAACATAGCCCTTGTTCTCAAGGCACTTACAGTTAATAGTAAATGGTTAACTGCATAAATAAGTATTTAGGTATAGTTATAGTAAGCACTATAAAGAAAAAGTAGAGTTCATGACCGTAAAATAGAGGTCCTAACTTTGGAAGTCACAGACATTATCCTTGAATTGACACATATGCTGAGATCATGAATATTAAATGAGGGCTGTTCAAGATGAAAAGGGGCTGACAGGAGATGGAGGGTGGTAGTGTGGGGATGGGAACCCTGGCTAGAGTAAACAGCATGTATGAAGATCCTCTAGTAATAAGAAACGTGAAGAACTGGAAAAAGTCCTATTATCATCAATATCTGACAATATCCTAGGAAATAAAATAGTAACAAAATAATACAAAACTGGGGTCAGGAAATTTGGATCCTAATCATGTCAATTCTCAGAGTCAGCCATAGTTTATTGTGATCTACACAGTCAAATGAGAAGAATGGGAATCCCAGAACACTTGATTGGATTTATGCAAAACCTATACTTGGACCAGGAGGCAGTGGTCAGAACAGAACAAGGAAATACTGCACGGTCCAAAATTGGGAAGGGTGTACGCCAAGGATGTGTCCTATCTCCATATCCTTTCTTTCTCTTTTTAAAATTCTTTTTTAATTTATTTTAATAATTTTAATGAACATTTACA